GGAATGTTTCCTTCCATCCGGGCCATGCCTGCGGTGGCGATCCACCGACTGCAAGGAATAGTGCAGGTGAAGGTAATGCCGCAGACTGTATGACTGTAATGTGCTGTGTGTTTTCCATTATGTAACTGCAGGTATGATAAGGAGTATTTCAAAGTCTGTTTTCAAAGATGACGAAAGAAACAAAAAATTGCTCAAATTCCAGTGAGGAGCATGTATACTCAAGGGGAGTTTCAACCCAAGATGGAATCGTGTCCGGGACACCAAAAAGAATTATGACCTCGCGAGAGCTTTTATGCGCAACGTACAGAGATTGTCACGTGCACCACACTTTCGAATGACCGTTGACAACTTATTATCAACGACTTTGAACCTCACCAGGTTGACTGACGAAACCGATGGTGAGCAATAACACCGTTATGCAAAAGAGATGCGTGACGTATGTCGCGCGTTCACACACAACGTGTGGACACGGTCACAACCGACAAGGGTGAATTTCAGAGAGACAAGACTACAAGTCCGTAAGTGAATGTAGGTAAACGGCTGTAAAAGACTCGGGTAGCCTTGTGCGGCGTACTGTATTAATACACCGAATATTTTCAGGCGTAAACCTCTGTACGGTGTTTCAAGTCTACGTTAAAATGCAAATGCTGTAAATGGTACGCTTGCACGAGCGGGACACAACTGCCTCAAAACCCAACTAGGTGAACGAAATCCCGTCACGAAACACTATTTACGATAACAGGAACCTGCTCACTCTAGTTCATAATGTAGAGACGTTCTCGAAAAAATGAAGTTTCGGGCTATAGTACTGCAGTGAAGACGAGAACACCGGTCGGAAGTGCAAACCACAAAACAGCTGGAACATAACGACCTAGGTGTTCGATCGAGTCGGATTCATAATCCTTCAAGCGAAAGATTTCGATTTGCACTGTCACAAATCCGAAAATCCGAAATTCAATACTTGGTCCTTTTCTTCCTTCAAAACGAGGGGTTAACCGCCATGCTGCAAGAATCGGGAACGCCGGCCGCCATGACTGCCATTTTGTTTTCGTTCGTTCGTTCGTTCGAACAAGGCTTCTTGGCGAGGGCGCAATCCCGGCAAACCGCGTCCGCGAACAACACTTGACAATCGTTATGTTCACAGGGAACCAACCCAGAAAAAGAAGAATCAGGACCGCGATAGTCACCGGGCGCCCATGCCAGTAATTATCCTTCCGAACAGCGACCTCAATCGAAACTTAGAAAGAGGACTTTGTCGCCAAAATTATGTTATGTTTTAAGGGGGGTACACGCGCCGATCCCCCCTGGTCCAGCTACATATCAAGGACGAGGGTGGCCGGCAAGGGCACAACTCACCGAGCTGCCCAACGGGGCCCCATGACGCGAGCCGGGCCGGTGGTCGGATCAAAGAGACATGTAGTCGGGTCAACGTTCAGGCCAATCTCTGAGCAAGTTCCTTGAGCCGCCCCATTTATTTACACACTCCCGTAGATGGCACTAGTTTGCAACACTACATTTCTCCTCCGCAGAAAATGATAGAGGAAGACATGCTACCGCTCGTGAAGCCAACTGAAACGCTGTACATGGAAGATACGTTGACACTACACTGAGGTGACCTCCTGGTACGGCATATCACTTGATTGCTCTTCATGAGGCAGCGCTGAAGGCATGCTGGGACCACCTTTGATCGGGATCGTCGCATTGATTGGAGTGGGCTGGGCACTGTCTTGTGAGACAGGCGGTCCGTTTCCCAAAACATCATTGGTCAGAAGCGCAGGAGATAAAACAGGCGGAAGGTCGCCCAGCGGAACAGGCATGGACATGCCTCACTGAGTTGAAGGCAGATGGCTAGGCCATCCAAAATCCACCCTAGAGGACTGTGGCCTTTTCTGTTCGTATCAGCGTTATAAAACAGGCTGCCCCGTGCAGCAGCTCTATGGCGTCGGCTTCCATCTGACCACACCAGAACTTTCCCACCTGACGCCGACGACCTCAAGAATATAATGAGGGCTGCCCTACGGGCCACGTAGTGCAGCGCCAGTATTGACACACGAACTGACCCGTGAACAGCTATGAACAATAGAACCCAGGCTGGGCCCGCAGGCCTTTTGGTATGGGCACTCTGCCTTCTGCGGCCCTTGCAGGCCTGGATCTCCTAAAATATATGCAAAATAAAGTATTATTATTATTATTATTATTATTATTATTATTATTATTATTATTATTATTATTATTATTATTATTATTATATTATTATCTTTGAATGTGCTGTGAACAGATGTGCCGTGTGAGTGCGCCCTTTTTTGTTCATTCTGCTAGACTCCTCATCCCGAAGATCTGTGCCTCAAAGTTTGTGTCGATTTTTTTTTAATGTCCTGTGACCAGACGGACAAACCAATTTTAACTATTTTTTTCTCCTGTTTTCTTCAAATAATTTATATTGATTAGTACCGCTGAAGTGGACATTTACTGTGAACTTCTAGTGTCTTAACGTTTTTTGTTTTTTTTTTCTTTCTGACCGATTATGTTACCAATTCTACCCAAAAGGGTTCAGTCACACAAGCCCATGTCGGCTTTGACGAACCTGACAGCTTCATGAGTATAGTCCTCGAGAATAAATGTATTATTATTATTATTATTATAATAAAACAAACTGCAGAGTAATTAGATTAATTCGGATCAGGAGCAGGTATCATGACAGGATGCTAACCTCGTCGTCGTCGTCGTTTTTCGTCAATTGGAGGCCCAAGCGCCAACCCAAAGCCCCAAACGGAGTTTGGGTTCTGGGCATGCGCAGTGGTGAGCCCCTATTTCTTTGGGGCCCGCAAGCTTTGGGGCCCCTCTTCTAAAACTCTCTTATATCGCGTGCCAAGATGTGTTAGCGTCAGCATTAGCGTGATGGACATCACGCCTTTTTTTTTTTGAGTATCCGCCATATTGTGTTTTATCGAGACCATCGAGGCGGTCGGATGGGCATCCGGCTCGCACCCAAGTTTCGAAGTTTGTACCAATGTACGTTTTAATAACTGTTCCCAAATAAACCATCCAGTTTTTCTATTGCAGTCGTGGGACTTCGTCATTGAAATCACTTCCAAAACAATTACCTTCATAATAATTGTGCGTTGTGAAATGATAACAGTGCGTTGTGAAAGCAAGACCTGTTCGTCAAAAAAATCTCAAGTGCACAATTTCGAAGTGCGCCAGGGAATCTTGTACTACCAGCTCCAAAGTGGAACAAGCTCACGGAAGCTTGTCGTGGTCCCACAAAGTATGTGTTAGCGTCAGCATTAGCGTGATGGACATCACGCCTTTTTTTTTTAGTGTCCGCCATATTGTGTTTTATCGAGAAAATCGAGGCGGTCGAATGGGCATCCGGCTCGCACCCAAGTTTCAAAGTTTGTACCAATGTACGATTTAATAACTGTTCCCAAAAAAACCATACAGTTTTTCTATTACAGATGATCCCTTGAATTGGGTTCCACGCTTCATACGAAGCACAGATGTGCCGGTGACTCGCTTTCGGTTCTCGACGCAACGCAGTGAAACGGACTCAAACACAAGTGTCTGAACCGGCCTTTATCCTGGCTGTCGGTGTGGCCGTGGCTGACCACGTCTTTTTTTCCGGCCTTTTGTGTTGGTGGTTTTCTACCGGTGACCAAGGGATGCTTTCGTCCAGTGCCGCAAGAGTTTCCATATTCTGCTATTGGCTTTTGGTGGGCCATAACCCCCCAAACAGGCGAAAAAGTGAAAAATGTTGGAGCTATAAAATTTTCTGCTCCTACCTTAGGAAATTTCTTCCTTCGAAAGCCGAAAGGTCTCGCCGCCAATAGTAGAGTGAAATATAAGATTTTATATTCTACCGGGTGAAACAAGGCGACGGTAGGCTCTTTAAATCGACCGGAAAATTCTGTTTCTTAACTATCGCGCTACGACTTTGTGCAGCGTTGCCCACAGATGGTGCAATTTTTTCGTAAAATTTGCAAAGAGCGAACTTACCTGAGGAAAAAGTAAAGAAAGAAAAAGGCTTAGCTCCTATGGAAACACAGCGACGCCTCCGGTCTGCAAACAAAACGGCGCCGCTTCGCACGGGAGACAAGAGATGGCGCAAGCGGTCGCGACGCCAACTGCCGCCAACGAACGAGCAGACAACGCCGAGAGTCGGCCCTTTGCAGACAAGGAACTGCAGTTCCTTGCTGTTATCGCGCCTGTCTTTTTTGTTTCTGCGACTGTCGCCGCCTACGGAACGCGCTCCGCTTTTGAGTCGAAAAGATCGTCTGCTAAAAAGGCCTGCTCTCGGCGCCGTATGTTCGTTCGTTGCGGCGTTCGTTGCGCCATCTCTTGTCTTCCGTGCGAAGCGGCGCCGTTTTGTTTGCAGACCGGAGGCGTCGCTGCGTTTCCATAGGAGCTAAGCCTTTTTCTTTCTTTACTTTTTCCTCAGGTAAGTTCGCTCTTTGCAAATTTTACGAAAAAAATGCACCATCTGTGGGCAACGCTGCACAAAGTCGTAGCGCGATAGGTTAAGAAACCGAATTTTCCGGTCGATTTAAAGAGCCTACCGTCTCCTTGTTTCACCCGGTAGTTCACTGCACCAATATAAAAGTTTACTACTGGTAGCGTCACTGAGCAAGAACGATAGAGACGCTTCGCAGCAGCCCTGAATAGGCGCCGTTATAACCGTCCTTCAGCTTTTGTTTCCTCTTCTTCCGTTCACTTCACTTCATTATTACCATAGCAGGCCAGGTTATTGGCATTATAGATTCTACCCTGTCCTTCTCCCAGCATTATCATTTGTGGAGGCTTGTAACCGCCCATTTCAGTGGCTCATTATATCGGTAAAACAAGAGGTCAGCAATGGCGGATATAATCTGGCGCGCGTGCAAAGCGTACTATACTGGCTCGAGCTCGAGCGCCAGAAGCTGTTTCAGGGAACGAGCGTCGCGAGCATCTTAAGATCGCGTGTTCTTCATTCGACTCTACGCTTTGCCCAGACGCATCTCAAGATGAAGGGCTCTTTTCTTCTGACCCAAGCCTGCACCGCCAGCGCCCCAGCTGCCGCATTAGACGCAGCACTTATTTTCGGACATGGCACTTTCCAACGACTGGCACTGCTGTGCACCGCGATTTCCATCTTCATCGCAGTAAGCGACAGCCTCGTTACCGTGGTATTCGCACAGCCCATCGAACACTGGTGCAGGCCACCGCCGGAGCTAGCTTACATGCCGACCGACGTCTGGAAGAATCAGAGCATCCCCGTGGAACCGGACGGCACGTTCAGCAAATGCACCCGCTACGAGCCTCCACTGGACGCGGGAAATGCGACGGAGAACCGAACCGTGGTCTTTTGCGACGAGTGGGACTACGCTCTGGCGACCACGGGGAAGTCCATCATCAGCGAGTGGAACCTGGTTTGCCACAGACACCGGCTCCTTTTGCTCCATTCGCTCGTATACTTCGGTGGAGCCGTCGCCGGGAGCGTGATCGGGTACTTCGGGGACAGCTTTGGCCGCAAACCAGTTTTCGTGGTCGCGCTGTTACTGCTAGTCGCCTCTGGCACGGCCATAATCGTCTCCAACACGGTGCTCACGTTTATCATCTTGCGCTTTCTGACATCGGCGACATCTTTGACGGTTTTGAACATGGCGGCAGTTCTGCTGTTCGAGGTGACGGAAACAACGCATCGCGTCGTCTTCTGCTCCTTTGCCTCCTCGTGCACATCCGCGGGGCTGACACTGTTCCAATTCCTCTTACTGGCGGTAGGTGGACACTGGAGGCTGGCTCAAGCGATACTTATGGTGGCGACAAGCTTCCTCCTGTTCGCTTCCTACGCCATTGAAGAGTCTCCTTGTTGGCTGCTGGCCTCGGGCGACATCCAAGGTACCGAGCGCGCAGTGCTCTCGGCTGCAAAGGTAAACCGCTACCCCCTAGACGACGTGAAGGCCAAGATGACTCACATCAAGTACGTGATGTTGCGGAGGGCAACACGCAAACGAACGTTCAACAAGCGAGCCCCTTGGACCTTGTCCTGAACAGTTCTCTGCGTTTCCGATCCGTCACCCTTTTTTCGAGTGCATTCATGACGCTCCTTCACCTCTACGACACCAGTCTTAACAAAACCTTGGTAGAAAACCGGACGGTGCACTTAACCCTAATAGTTGCGCGGCTACTTGGTTCGATAGCTTTCTTGTATATCGTGCACTACCTGAGCCGGCGCAAGATGATTTGCGTCGCCATGTTACACATGTCGGTCGTGCTAGGCTTTCAGACTTGGCTGGATTGGCAAAAGGACGACAGCATCCTGCCCATTGTCACAATTATCATTAAGGTAATTGTTCTGGAAATGATTTCAATGACGATATTTGTGTATTTGTTGGAGATATTCCCCACTGTGCTTCGAGCCACGAGCTTTTCCTTAGGCACCATGTTCGGTAGGAGCGGAAGCGTGCTAGTGCTCTTGATCACGGGGCCCAACCCGCCAATTAATCGAGCTCTCGCCATGGCGGTAAGCGCGGTGATGTTCACTTTGATCGGTTTAGCTTTTCTTGTTTTACCCGAAACGAGGAAGGTAATGGCCACCAACACCATTCGCGAGACAGAACTTGAGGACATGTGGCAAGTGCCTGCCAGAGAAAACTTTACGCGTCTCAGAACTATTCCTACGGGTCCAGATGTTTCTAAGAAGTCCTAGACGCCATTTCTTTTTATTAACGCCGCTTTTCATGATGTGACATTTTATAAAAGAAAAAAGTGCAATGTGTCAGTGGCGTCATCGTCTGTACGCGTCTGCCCTGAATCCGCAAGTGCACTGTTCATGCATTAAACAAAAAACTGTGTTCGCTTCAGAAATCACTGCGTACACGCCCAAAAAATGTCTGAAAAATGTTCTTTTCACACATATGAATGCTTCGAACACGTATGTAGCAGGGGTTTTCCCAGGAATTGAAATTAGGGGGGTGCCTAAATGTCTAGGGGCCGGGGGGGGGGGGGGGGGGGGGGCGGTGTTGGGGAGGGGGGGTGCGCTGAGAATAGAGGAGTCGTTGCGATTTAAGAGGGTGCCTCCAGAACAACAAGGGGGGGAGGGGTGTACATCTCCTAGGGGTGTGTAGAGAAATCACTCGTCTGTAGACAGTCTTAATTGGAAAGCACTAACTATACTATGAAGTGGAGCTGGCGACGTCTGTAACCGCAAAAAACAAAAACAAAACAATAAAACGCTAAAGAAATGCCTATTCTCTCGCTGGCTGAGCAAAACGGCTCATATTGCGAATTCGGTGCACGGTGAATAGACCCTTTCCGAAATTCAGTCTGGCCACTTCAATCACTATCATCATCTCTGGAACGGCATCTGTGCCATACCAATGGCAGCCTTCTAGTGACTGATAAAGGAAGACGTTGAAGATGCTCCTAAGCGGATCTTGCGAGGCCTGTACATTCGGGGGGTCAGTACGACGCGACAATGGAGTGGAACACAAGAGCCAAGTAAGCGTTTATTTCTAATAACTCAGATTCAATCAATTTGTGCGCGGCACACAATCGGCTTTACAGCACTTTGGTGTGTAGAATTTTCTCGAGGCACCTGAGTGGCTTGGAGCTTAATTATGAATGCAGGTTCTTGGTCACCATCAAACTGAAAGTGATCGAGAAAGAACTCACACCGAACAATTCCGCGCGTGCCGTTGACTTGCGAAAGTGACGGTGCCGATAAAAGTTCATTTCCGCCATTGATATGGCAAAGCCTAAACTGCTTTACAAACCACCAGATGGCACTGAATTTCGGAAAGGGTCTATCGCCGGCGAGCCTTGCCGGTGGCACCGGCGACCAAAAACGCGCCAGTGGTGCACCACATGACCCTCTTCACTTGAACACAAAGTAGTAGTAGTAGTAGTTTATTGTAAAGTGAAAAGGAGGTAGAAGCAAGGCGAAAGGTTAGTCTCCCAGTGGTGGAGTCAGCTTTCTCACCTTGCTAGGGGGATAGGGGTAACCAAGAGTGGTTGAAGGAGAGGTGGCGCAACAAACACTATGATACACTATAAATTAATACACTATGACACACTATTTACACTGTGATGCAATATTAAACGAATTGCGTGGCTAATTGTGATCCTTTCCTGACGTATTACAGGCTGCTATAGCCTGCGGATTTTAAATAGTCAAGCAGTGCTCTTAAAGCTTTTGTTCTCGAATGCCGCGAACCTGTCGGGAACAGGAGTGACTTGGTGTTGCCAGCAGGAATGTTAAGCTGTTTGAGGGTGGTCACAAGTGTTTCTCGGTGGTTGCTCACCGCTCTGCAATGCCAGAGAATGTGTTCGATGTCCCCCGTGGCACCACAGGCACTGCAGGCTGGGGATGACAGGCGTTTGATGAGATGCAGTCGAGAAGCGGCTCGGGCGCAGCCTACCCTTATCCGATGAAGTAGAGCTTGTTCCAGCCTGCTGAAGTTTTTCTTGGGAATTGTGTACGGCGGTGTTCCAGCCGCAGTTTCAGGGTCAGGGTGAAGTTTCTGAACGGCTTTTTGAATAAGGCTGTTTGACGAATTATTTGGATGTACGGAGATTGTTGGTGTGACATCCGCATGAGCAGCCCGTGCGAGAGAATCCGCAGTCTCATTTCCTTGATTGCCAACGTGTGAAGGGATCCACTGAAACTGGATGGATGCACCTCCGACAGCTGCCTTCTGCACTAGGTAGGCTATAGTGCGAGCTAGCGGAGATGCTGTTTCCAGGTTCGTGAGTTGCCTCAGAGCTGCTTGGGAGTCGGAGAAGATGACAAAGTGGTGTAGCTCCGCGTGCTTGAAAATTTCTTGTACGGCAAGCCAGATGGCAGCAAGCTCGGCACATGCGGTGTTCATGCAGATGTCCAATCGACCTTTCGTGTGAACTCTAAGTTGGGGAATGCAGTAGGCAGCTGTGGCGGAATTCCCACGTATGCTGCCATCTGTATATATGTGTGTTTGTCCTGCGTAGTCTGTGGTTATCAACTCTTCAGTAATAGACCGCGCTACGCAATCTGCGACCCTACCTCGCCGAGGCAGATCAGGAATAGTTGCCAACATTTGCAGTTTCTCTTCGTCACAGTGAGGCGGAAGTGTCTCTGAAACGTTAGAAGGATAGCCGATTGTTGAACGAAATGCTTCATCCATCCTTCCCAAAAAAAGTATGCCTTGCTATGATGCCTTCGATGAGTTTGATTGCATTAGGTGCACTGTGGAGCCTAGTGAAATGTCGAAGCACTCGTTCTTGTGCTTGATTCCGTAGTGGAGAGTCGCCGGCTTCTACGAGTGTGGGCACATTTTGCGATGAGCAGGGCAGGCCGCGGCAGAACCTTAGCGCCGTTCGGTGGAAAGTTTCAAGAGTTGTCCATCGTGGTCTTGCTATGTCGAGTAGGGGAAGTGCGTAGAGCACTCTGCTTACAATGAGACCCCGATAGAGCGTCAACAGTGATGACTGGAATGGACCCCAGTTTTGACTCGCGATGCGGTGAAGAGCACCACATAGTTTGCGAGACTCTTTCATGACGTGCTTAACAGCAGGGTGCCAGTTCACTCTGTCGTCTATAATGACGCCAAGGTATTTAACTTGTGTCCGCCTTCGAATACGTTCTCCTTCCACGCGAAGTCTTGAGAATTCGTAACGTAATCGCCCTCGTGGTCTGTAGGTGAGTGCGGAGGTCTTAGCAGTAGACAATGTGAGGCCAGCGTGAAAGAGAAAAGCCGAGGTGGTGTTAAGAGCCTTTTGGAGTTGTGCTTCAACTGTTGTTAAGAGGAGCGTTGGGCCAGCACCCCACAGTACGACGTCGTCAGCGTATATTGCACATTTGACTGGAAATATACTTTCCTTTGGCAAAGCAGGGGGGAGTGCTGCCATGACAACATTGAACAGTATCGGGCTGAGGACACTTCCCTGTGGCACTCCTTGTGTGCACTCGCGTGGCGTAGTCAAATGCCTGGCCAGTCTAACTTGGAGCATTCGTTTGTTTAGAAAAGATCGCACAAAGGCCAGGGCCCGACCTCCTACCCCGATTAATTGCAATCTCTCTATTATTATGTCGTGAGGAAGAGCGTCGAAAGCACGATGTATATCCAAGAACACAGAATGTAGAACATGTTTCTGTGCTTTGGCCTCTTCAGGAGACGAGGCAAGATCTCCGATGGCACCTGCTGTGGATCGACCTCTTCTGAAGCCCGACAGTTCGTCTGGGAACGCGTTTGTATGTTCAAGTTGCCAAGTGAGACGGCGGTGGATCATCCTTTCCATTAGCTTGCAGGTGCAGGACGTCAGCGATATTGGGCGATATGAGGACAAGTCATTCGCGCGCTTTCCTGCTTTCTTGACAGCTATCACGGTCGATTGTAGCCAGGCATCGGGTAGAACTCTTTGCCAAATGTCGTTGAAGTAGGCGAGTAGTTTGGGTCGGTCTTTTTCGTCGATATTTTTTAAAGCCTGGTTAGTTATACCGTCAGGTCCTGGGGCACTCCGTCGACGGCAGTTTGACAAGGCGTAATTTAACTCTGATAATGTGAAGTCGTCATCAACTGACTTTTCGGGGAAGTGTAGAACGGGAGGCCTGGGTCCAAGAAAAACCGCCTTTGGTGAGTTGATGAGAGCGGTGAATTCATCTGCAAATCGCTCTCTGACTGTAGCCAATGAGATTTTGTTTTTGATGGCGATTGCTGCGAAGTGGTCTTTAGGTGGGACTGCAGTGAGTAGGCATTTGACTGTCGTCCATGGGAGGCGGGATCCTGCGTCGGTGTTTAGTGAATTACTTCTCTGTTGCCATTGATGACGGCCAAGTTGTACGGTATATCTGCGAAGCTTAGCCTCAATTCGTCGTGATGTTGTACAGTCTTGGGGTCGCTTAGAACGTCTAGCTATTCTTTGAGCTCGCCGGGATGCGGCGCGAAGGTTCAAATATGTCAGGTCTGGGACTGGTTTTGTTGTTGGGAGCGTTATTTGCTTAGTGGCGACTTTGAAGGCGGTGGTTACGGCCTCCTCAATTGCTGGAGGATTTTGGCCTGTTAATATCGTGCTA